CACCACTCTCCCTCCCTCACCACTCTCCCTCCCTCACCACTGTTCCTCCCTCACCACTGTCCCTCCCTCACCACTCTCCCTCCTTCACCACTCTCCCTCCCTCACCACTCTCCCTCCCTCACCACTCTCCCTCCCTCACCACTCTCCCTCCCTCACCACTCTCCCTCCCTCACCACTCTCCCTCCCTCACCACTCTCCCTCCCTCACCACTCTCCCTCCCTCACCACTCTCCCTCCCTCACTACTCTGTAGAGGACGTGAAACTTTGATGAATTTACCTCAGAGTCGCGTGGTGGGTGTCGAGGCCTAGCACCGTGCAGAGCCTCCGGCCTCGCCTAAATTGGCCACCCGGCTGAGGCTGGGTACAGGTGGCGTTCCCCCCCCTTCCCGCGCTACAATAATACTGTCTAATCGCTATAATTTTATAATCTACCGACCTTATAATAGTAATTGCACACATTGTGGTGGGGGGGAGTGAAGAGGACGTGAAATTTTGATGAATTTACCTCAGAGTCGCGTGTTAATGCGTGCGCTTATTTTTAACGGGAATTAAAAATGGCGTCCACCCCGCGGCGAAGGCGTCGCTACCCGTTGCCAGGGGCAACCGCCGTCCAATGAAACTGCGTATGGTCCGGCGACCCACAGACAGACAGACAGATTCGCGATTTTATATATATAGATAGCTGCCATCGTTGACTAGTTCTTGGATTTTATAGTTGTATTCTGTTTTGTCCATGATGACAGTGGCATTACCTTTGTCGGCTGAGAGGATGACAATGTCATCCCTCTTTTTTAATTGAGCTAATTCATAACGCTCATCTTTGCTGATGTTGCTAGCTGGCATCTTTGCATTTTTGAGAGTTGCAGAGATTTCAGATCTTGCTACGTCTGCAGCGATGGGACTCAGGCCCTTGAGAGCTACATCTACTCTAGCAATTATATCATTAACTGGTATGTGTCTAGGTGTGACTGCAAAGTTTAGTCCTTTAGCTAAAACGCATTTCAGACCTTGAGAAATAGAACTGTTACTGCGATTAATTATGACTTTGTTAACATCTAGCTTTTTAATGTGTGGGTCCGGTTCCTTATTTGAGAGGCGGTTGAATTTGGAAATCAAGTTGTCCTTACATTTGGTCGACATAGCGGCAGCTGACGAGGCAGTCATTTTTCTACATGTTCCCAATCCGATGCGGACATTGTTGCACTCAAAGATAAGTGTGATTTGTAGAGTGTCTTGTCTAACTGATCTAGATCGGTGCGCGTAAGTCTGATTTTCTCTGAGATAAGAGCTAAGCTAGTTCTAGACAGAATTCGTTTAGCATTAGAAGAAGTTACAGCAGCAGATGTTAGTGTAAATGCGTTTGGTATTACCTTAGAGTCGCGGCATCTCTTCAGAAAGGTGAGAGACTCGATTAGCTGAGCCTTCTTATCCCGGAGCTTGTTGAAGGATCTCAAAGTTATGTGGAAATCCTCCCGTAGAGGCGGTTAAATTTCGATTTAAAGCTTTCGTGACTGCAGGGATTCATCTTCTTGGTTCTTTGGGTAAAGTCACGTAGAAGGGAAGTAATAAAATAATAAAAACAAAACATAACAAAATAATATAATTATCACGACGTTTCGGCCACAACGCAAGCAGCCGTCCTCAGGTGAAGAATGAAACACCACCAAGCTAGGAGCGTATATATAAGCTGGGTTGGAGGGGGGAGGTGGGAAGAAGAGCGCCTTAACAACATAATTTGCATATCAAGAGGAATTTAGCATATGAAAAATGCATAGGAAGTGGACGGAGGGGTTTTAAGTTGATATTATGCCCGTGCATTATGCAGGATTAGCAGCATCAAAGGGAGGGGGAAGGGGGTAGCATTAACAAAGGAAAGGAATGTTAATAATATGTAGCTGCAGTTAAACAACAACGTAAAAAAAAACTAAAGTATAAACTGCATGAACAACTAAAGTATAAACTACATAGCATCATCAGTATACTTACTATACTCTACAATAAGCTGAGTGACTAACAGTAAGTAATACATTACAATTCTACGTCGTAATAATGTAACACTATGTATTATTCTACCCACCTTAAAGTGTATCACAAAGCTATATATTTACTATAAAATTACAATACTATATATTACTTTGTACATTGTATTAAGCATATAAATGTTATACTATTTGTTATTATACACTGTACCATTGACCGTCTTGTCAATGGGTGAATAGTGGGGGGGAAATCTTGCAGCGGAGCAAAGAATCCATTCCCTGCGGAGAATACAATGCCAGTGAGTGGAACGCGGTCTGAAAGTCACCGTAAATGTGAACACAATCAGTTAAGATCCGAAATGGTTTATTACGTCCTTCCAATGATTGCTAAGCCAGAATCCATCTTCTCGGTTGAAATTGTCTCTGTGTTTGTATATGTGGATAGCCTCATGAACGAATCTCTCATGATAGCCAGTTGGCTTGCAGAGAACCTCTGTCTTGGAGAAGTCAATGTCATGTGAGCCCACTGAATTGTAACAGTGATCTGCCACGGCTGAGGTGTTTGTCCTACCGTGTTTCAGGTCTGCTGTATGTTCACGGATGCGGTCCGAGACATGTCGTTTGGTTTCTCCAATGTAACTGCTACCACAAAGGCAACTTAGTTTGTAGACGCCAGGGTACTGTATGTCTGGAACCACATCTTTTACAGACGGGACCAGATCACGGATTTTATGTACTGTGTTGAATCGGACCTGGATCTTGTGTTTAATCAGGATTTTGGAGATATTTTTTGTGACCCCAGCAATGTAGGGTAAGGTGATGGTCTTGAAAGGCTCCTCAACAGGATTGTTCTTGATGGTTGGAGTGATGGCCTTGCGGATTGTGTAGTCGGAGTAATCATTAGCCTTAAGAGCTTGGCGTACGTGTTTGAGTTCACTGGCAATGTGATCCGGGTCGGAAATGCATTGGGCTCTATGGTATAGAGTCTTGATGAGGGAATTCTTCTGGGATGGATGGTGGTGGGAATCCGGTTTTAGATAAGCATCCGTATGGGTGGCTTTCCTGTAGACAGAGTGGCTCATTGAACCATCAGGTCTCCTTTTAATTAGGACATCCAAAAAGGGTAGCTTGCCATCTTTTTCGACTTCCATGGTGAATCTGATGGCTGGGTGTATGGAATTGATGTGGTCGAGAAATTGGTTTAGAGCAGGCCGGCCATGTGGCCAGATGACAAAAGTGTCATCTACGTACCTCTTCCATAAGGTCGGGCGTAGAGTGGCAGTCTGGATGGCGTCAGTCTCAAATTTCTCCATGAAGATGTTGGCTACAACCGGAGATAGGGGGGAGCCCATTGGGGTGCCCTCAGTTTGCTTGTAGAAAGTTCCATTCCAGGTGAAGTATGTATTAGTTAAGCAGTGTCTCACCAGGGGGGGTACCCCAGCATTCAGTCCTTGATGAACCAAGTCTTCAATGATTGCCATGGTGTCAGGTACAGGAACTTTGGTAAAAAATGAAATTAAAATTTATAAAAAATAAAATAAAAATCACGACGGTCCCACCTGATGACGGAGACTTGTGTTGCCTCCGAAACGTCGTGATTTTTATTATTTTATTTTTTTTACATTTAAATTTAAATGTTTTACCTACGTGACTTTACCGAAAGAACTAAGAGTATTCTAATATTTAATATACATTTTTAAAAAACCTCTGCAAAAAATGTGAGCTATTAGTGGGTGAGTTTAACACGTATGTTTTCGCTATATCAACATCATCCATAAAAGGTAATGCGATCTAAACCAAAATACCCCCCTTTATTATAGAGTAATGGGCTAACAAACGACCCAGATGTGTTATTTAATACATTTCGATTTAAAGCTTTCGTGACTGCAGGGATTCATCTTCTTGGTTCTTTCGGTAAAGTCACGTAGAAGGGAAATAATAAAATAATAAAAATAAAACATAATAAAATAATTCTCACGACGTTTCAGCCACAACGCAAGCAGCCGTCCTCAGGTGAAGAATGAAAAAAAAATACTTAATAAATGTTATACTCAACTAAAACAACACGTATCTGACAATACAGCCTCGAGTGAATGCCTCATCTAACACTCACAGAAGTCGTCCCCAGCTCCACTCTGCACTGCTGGGTGATGTTTGTGCTCAGCTCCATTGCCGCTCCAAGCATCTGAACCACGTGGCCGAGTGGGGGAGGGTCTTTATACCCGAGGCGAGGTCTGTGTCGTCATCCACCAATGGGGTGACGCCTCTAGCGCCTGGCCGCAACGTCACGTGGTCGTCAACAACAAGCGACGTCACGCGATTTTGGACGATTTTTGACCCTCCCCCCTCGTCACACGGCGTCACAAAAAGTCAGACCCCCCCACCTCAAAAACAATTCAAATGGCTTTAAACTGTTGTCATTGTCGTGCGTATTTAATGTGGCGCTGCACTCTGATGTTGTAGGAGAGTTGTCATAACAACTAGTGTTGTTATAACAATCCCATATTCATTTAAAGTTGCGTATTTAGATGTGACGTCACATTTCTCACTCCCCCCTCCTCCTCGTCACACATCGTCACAAATGTCTGACCCCCCCCCAGGTGCGTGACGTCATTTATGGACGGCCCCTAAGTGTGTCGTAAACAATAACATAAATATATAATAAATATAATATAAAAAATATATAAAAAATATTGGTTCATGTTTTATTATTTTATTATTTCCCTTCTACGTGACTTTACCGAAAGAACAAAGAATGTGAATCCCTGCAGTCACGAAAGCTTTAAATCAAAACTGCAACACGATGTTTGTCCCCGGGTAGTGTTATGTTTTAATTGGCTATGCCTAAAATGGATAGAAAGTGGCAATTATCATTCCCCACAAACTTTGCTTTTGTGACCAGGACTTTGTGTGTCCTGGTCACAAAAGCAAAGTTTGTGGGGAATAATAGTAACCCACTTTCTGTACTTTTGAGGCATTAGCAATTAGAAAATATTACTCACTACCCAAGGACAAAAAAACATGCTTTTGTTACAGTGTTGTCACGATTCACCACCAGCACGATCCACGATTCACCAGCTCTACGATCCACCAGCATCACGATCCACGATCCACCAGCTCCACGATCCATCAGCACCACGATCCACCAGCTCCACGATCCACCAGCACCACGATCTACCAGCACCACGATCCACCAGCACCGCGATCCACCAGCACCACGATCTACCAGCACCACAATCTACCAGCACCACAATCTACCAGCTCCACAATCCACCAGCTCCACAATCCACCAGCTCCACGATCCATCAGCACCACGATCCACCAGCTCCACAATCCACCAGCATCATGATCCACCAGCTCCACAATCCACCAGCACCACGATCCATCAGCCTCATGGAGCCTGGATCCGTCTCCTCCACGCTCCTGCAAAGCGCCAGTCTTCTGGGGTCTCTCCTCGCCGTCTGCGTCGCTCACGAAGGTAACGAGGCGAGTGGGGGGCGGGGTGGGGGGCTCAAGCATCATCGCTCTTTGCCGGCTCCGCGTCTTTCATCGTGAATGTGACGGGGCACGTGGAGAGAGAGAGAGAGAGGAGAGAGAGACACCGCCAACTTCTGTACGTGTTGTTTACGTCGTTTGTTGTGGAAAGTTCGGTCACAGTTCCTATGATCACTGTTTCATTGCTTTCATGGCTTGATTTTGGTGATTTTCGAAAAGTGTATTGGTTTGGCCATGTTTGTGTTGTTGTAGTACAGAGTTCGACTGATGGCCTTAATCTAAGTTGTCTTGTGGTTGTTTGACTTGCATCCCACTGGGATTTTTGCACACAGCGTTGGTGTGTAACGGTGCTTTTTCTGTAATATTTTGCTGTCTTTTCTTGGATTTTCTGTTTGCACTCAGTTACATATTCACTTTGAGATGTTTTTTGTTCATGTTTTAGTTTTTTTGTTTGTTGCGATTGCACCCGATTCAAGAGCCGAATGGTTCACAGGGCTATACCTAATACATGAACTTTGAAACTTTGATATATTCTAGATGTGAAGCTTTCGTGACTGCAAGGATTCATATTCTTAGGCTTTTTCGGTAAAGTCACGTAGGTAAAAAAAAAAAAAATAGAAATAAAATAATAATTCACGACGTTTCGGAGGCAAAACATTACGAAGAGAAATCCCTCTACGATTTCAACAACATCCACGGGGCCTTTTTGGAATTTCAAGTTGTCTCCTGGAGCCTGGTAGGGCCCATCCACGGTAGTTGCAGAGGGAGTTTGTGTTGAGTCCAATGTGCCTGTAAGCAGATAACTGGTTCAGTGAGATAAAAAAGTTTCATGTCAATGATGGAAAATAAAATACTTCACATTTTAGCCTCATTTTTAAATAATCGTTTGTTTTACACCAAAGACTGTATATTAACACCGTATTCTCGAGAATATAAAATGCTGCTGAAAATAAGAAATTTTAATTATGCAGGGGGCAGGGGGGGGGGTCTTATAATCCAGAGAATACGATGTCAGCGATACGACATTTCCCATTGGTATTCTCTGACAGATGACCCCACTCGCTTGGTTTACCTTGAGTAGAGTCGGGGAAAATGCATGGCCATTGTGCCATTGCTGTCGCAGAGTGTTCACCCGCACACTTCACCAACAAACACATCGTCCTGCTGCTGCGGAGGGAGCTGGTAGGAACGTTGGGTTGCTCGGTCAATGGCCTGCAGGGTCAACAGCGGCGTGGTGTATTCCACCAATATGCCCGACTGTGAGGGCGGGCACAAGCCGGCGTGAGTAGGTTCAACGTTGATAAGGGCACCACGGGGTGACCAGCCTTTTCCCACCCAGCCCCACCCCTCCCAGCCCCACCCTCCCCACCCAGCCCCTCCCCACCCAGCCCCACCTTCCCCACCCAGCCCCTCCCCACCCAGCCCCTACCCTCCCAACCCCTACCCACCCAGCCCCTCCCGACCCAGCCCCACCTTCCCCACCCAACCCCTCCCCACCCAGCCCCTACCCACCCAACCCCTCCCCACCCAGCCCCTACCCACCCAGCACCTCCCCACCCAGCCCCTACCCAGCCCCTCTTTGCACGGCGGACACAATAATCTCCTGTGGGCTGGTGTAACCAAGAGGTTCCTACCAGTAAAAACATGTGACTCTCATTGTGTTTGACTTGATGTGTCTCCCCGGCCTCGCGGCTCTGCACATCCCCACGTTGTGACGACCAGCTATTCGGGGCTGAATGTTGCGCCTTGTCTCCTGCAGTCAATATCCTCGACTCAAAGAGCGCACTGGGGGAGCCTGGCTGGATTGCCTCACCACCTGAAGGGGTAAGAAAACAAAATGACCACCTACGGATATTGGTACTGTATGAGTGCAGGCTCATGCAGCCAGTTATGGCTGCAGGGTTTGGTGTTGTTTATGTCGTTTATTGTGAAAATTCGGTCACAGTTCCTATGATCACTGTTTCCTTGCTTTAATGGCTTTATTTTGATGATTTCGAAAAGTTTTTTGATTTGGCCATGTTTGTTTCTTGTAGTACGGAGTTAGACTGATGGCCTTAATCTAAATTTGTCTTTTGGTTGTTGTTGTTTGACTTGCATCCCACTGGGATTTTTCTACACAGTGTTGGTGTGTACGGTGCATTTTTTTCTGGAATTTTTGCTGTTTTTTCCCCTGGATTTTCAGTTTGCACATAGTCACATAGTCACTTTAAGATTTCGATTTAAAGCTTTCGTGACTGCAGGGATTCATCTTATTGGTTCTTTCGGTAAAGTCTCGTAGAAGGGAAATAATAAAATAATAAAAATAAAATATTAAATTCTCACGACGTTTCGGCCACAACGCAAGCAGCCGTCCTCAGGTGAAGAACAGGTCTGTCGGAAAGACAGCGTCCGAATGAGTAGTAGTGCTTATCACAACTTGGGATTTATTCCCGGCCATGTACACCGGTTTTGGAACGTTTACTGGCCCTCCATGAGGTCAACTTTGTCCTAAAAGAGTCCTTGGAATCGTGTTAAAACATATTCACGACAGAGTCAAAGGTCCATCCCCTCATACAGCATGCCAGTGATCACCAGGAGATCCTCTGATTTTCAGCCAAACATTCAAATAATGTTTAATTTGTTGCGACTAATTAATAAGTTGATAATTGGTTATTTACCCTTCTATCTGGCAACAAAACTGACACCTTTTTACAAGGAGTCATGTTTGCATAGACCACAATACCTGCAGTCATAATACAAACAAAAGACATAACTCTGATAATGTGCACTGTCCTTGAAGTTGATTGGTCCACACCCGAGACAGCTTTCCTTAGAGCCTAGTCTCACATGGGTTGGACCAGATGACGCCAAAAGGTGTGGACCAATCAACTTCAAGGACAGTGCACATTATCAGAGTTATGTCTTTTGTTTGTATTATGACTGCAGGTTTTGTTGCCAGATAGAAGGGTAAAAAACCAATTATCATATTTTATTGGCAAATGAGGTTCCCATAGTGTAGATAATTAATAAGTGTCGGAATAATTGTGATCGTTGCCTAAAAAGCTAAGCAGCATTGAGCCTGGTCGGTAGTTGGATGAGTGACCACCAGGTACCACCACCAGGTGTTGTTGGCATGGGGATGCCAGAGATGGTCAGGAGATGACGGTGCTGAGTGGCACCACCTCGTAACTGTGGTGGATTTTCTCCGGGCACTCAGTTGGGCAGGACTGTGGTGCCAAACCATATTCGGGGAGGATCCTGTGAGTCTTTTTATCTGGAAATAATTTACATCATTGCTATTGTACTAAAGGTCGTAGAAGCGACTTCTGGAATCCGGTCTTTATTTGTCTTTCATTACAACACTCCTCCACGCTGCTGACAGGCAGCGTGAGAGGGATAGAGAGAGAGAGACACGCGCGGCCACGTGGCAGCCTGGACCCCGCTTCAGCGTGGCCTCTCCCTCCGTTCATTCTAGTTCTGACCACGCGTCGACATTTTCACCCCCCGCACGATTCCCCCGACGCGACGGCGCAAAGCGAGGAGGGAGGTGTCCTCCATTTGGAGGCGCCCCCACTCCGCAACCGACAACCCCAGCAAGGAATCCCTCCCTTCTTGCTCGATAGGACCGGCAACGGAAGGCGCATCGGCGGCGGCTGCTAAAACCGAATTAGAGCTGACATTCGGAGGTCTGCAACGCCACGAACCCAGCAGGCAAGCGCACTCAGAAGTGGGTGGTAACCGGGACAGAGCGTCCGCATTGGTGTGGCGAGTGCCCTTACGATAGGTAGTCGCAAAATCGAAATCCTGAAGGATTTCCAACCATCGAGACAATTGTCCCGATGGCTGTTGAACCCGCAAAGCATACTGCAGCGCCGCATGATCTGTGCGGACGGTGAACCGCCGACCGTACAGATATGGGCGGTATTGTTGAATGAAGTACACGATTGCCAATAGTTCCCTACGGGTAACGCAGTATCTTTGCTCCGCCGGAGACAACACCCGACTGCCGTACGCAACCACATGTTCCACGCCCCCAATAACCTGGGAGAGAACGCCCCCGATGCCCGTGTTGCTTGCGTCTGTATCGAGCAAGAAGGGTTTTGTAAAATCCGGGTAACTCAATGGCGGAGCCCCGACTAGGGCGTCCCGGAGCGAGTGAAAAGCGGCGTCTTCCTCCTCACCCCAATGAAATTTGACCCCCTTAGATGTCAAGGCATGTAAGGGTTTCGCAATGGTAGCGAAATCAGTGACAAACCGGCGGTAGTATGATGCGAATCCGATGAAACTCCTGACCTCACCCACCGAGGTGGGAGTCGGCCAGGAGCGAACACATTTCGTTTTGGCGGGATCAGTGGCAATGCCTGAACGGCCCACAATGTGACCCAAATAGCGCACCGATTCGCGGAGCAAGAAACACTTCTGGGGCTTGAACTTCAAATTAGCAGCCCGCATTTTGAGAAAAACGGCACGCAACCTCTGGAGGTGTTAATCGAATGTTCTACTAAAGACGATGACATCGTCTAGGTAAATCAGACACGATTCCCACTGCAAGCCAGCCAGAACCAATTCCATTAATCGCTGAAAAGTTGCCGGCGCGGAATGTAATCCCATCGGCAAGCGATTAAATTGGAAAAGGCCCTGTGGCGTACGGAAAGCAGTTTTCGGTTTGGATTCGTCATCCAGAGGCAGCTGCCAGAACCCGGACAATAAATCCAATGTGGAGAAGAATCGCGCCCCTGCCAGGGCATCAAGCGATTCGTCCATCCGGGGAAGCGGGTATGCGTCGGCTACAGAAATTTTGTTAAGCCGACGGAAATCCACACAAAAGCGCAATGATCCGTCGTGTTTTTTAACCAGAACGATCGGCGCGCCCCAAGGGCTGCTGGAAGGGGATATGATATCCGCAGCTAGCATGTCGTCTACAGCCGATTTAACATGCTCCTTTTCGGCGGGACTTAACCGAAATGGATTTTGGCGGATTGGCGCGCTGTCACCCGTGTCAATATGGTGTTTCAGCAATTTAGTACAGCCAATATCGTATTTATTTAGACTAAAAACGTCTGAAAATTCGCGAAGGAGGACTCGAAGCCTCTCACGCTGTGGACCGGACAGGTCCACCGATCCCGCGCAAAGCGCATCGAGCCACCCCTCATCACAATCCGAATGTGGTAGCGAGGGCGAACCGGCGCTCACCTGAGCAACAACCGGTTCCTCCCGAGGCACCGGCGTCGCGTGCGCGAGCACGGTCCCCTGAGGAACCACGGCCGTTCGCGACCCCACATTGAGGACCGCGATGAAGGGGTCCTCGTCCCCTTTGACCAGGGTCTGGGCCGCTACCAAGTCGGGTCCGTTGACCTCGGCCCTCGATGGTCCCAACAGAACCCCCCGATCCCCGACGCCCTCCCCAAACGGTCGGCGCAGCCTAAGAGGTACGAGCATTTGAGCTCCCGGCGGTACACGTACCGTCCTCGCGACCAGCGCCGGTACCGTCGCAAACGCCGTACGGACAGTGGTAGCGGGGGATGACAAAAAGGCCATACGTCGCCCCGACGGAAGTTCAATGCATCCTTGGTCGATTAGTATACGAATGGGCATTTTGGCCAAGAAATCCGTCCCCAACAGGCACGGAACCGCCAGCGAGGAGGAGACCAATATCGGGCCGGATAATTTAATGTCCCCAATACAAATTTGCGCGCGGATCTGTCCGATAATGCCCAACGAACCCCCGTTAGCAGCGTAACATGGGACATCAACAGGGAGCAAGGGACGACTTTGAATGGGGAGAATGTTGTAAATCAAATCAGACACAATAGTCGCCGATGCTCCCGTATCAATCAAGACCCGTACCTCGACCCCATCAATATGTCCCACAACAACCGACGACCCCGACGACGCGGCAACAACACGATGAGCCAACTCGGACCACTGGGTCGGTTGGACCGCACACCCGACGGAGGTACGTTTTGGCGTGACAATGGATAATTTCTGACCCCCGTTCGTTGCGGTGTGTGAGTGAGTGGCAGGTGTGTGTGTGGGCCAACCATGTGGGGTGCCACGACTCGCCGGATTTTGCTGGGGAGACTTGGGTCGAGGCGCGACGTCCTGGCGAGGCGTCGCACCACGCTGCCGAGGAGCCCGGCATCCTGACGCCACATGGCCCTGGAGGCCACAGTTGTAGCAGCGCGTGAGTGTTGCTGATGGCTTGGGCTGATCCCGGCGGCTCGGTCCGTCCCGAGCTGGCCGTACTCCGGACCTCCACTCCGTCGGGCGATCCACAGCGCAGATGTCTTCCGCTGGAGGGCGGATGCAGCCACGGTATGGCTGGCCTTCGCTTTGCTGGCCTTCCGACGTTGGGCCAGCAGGTTGGCATGGATGTGCCGGGCGGCCGTCAACGAACACATTTTTGCGTCGTCCTCAGCCAAGACGACGATGTCCAAATCATCGGCCAGCAGCAGTAGCTTTTCCGTGACCATGGCGTCCACCCCATCCTCGTCCATCCGTGGAAAAGCCGTTTTCGCCAGGGCCAGGAGAGCCGTGCGGTACGCCAGGGGCGACTCCTTGGCGCCCCGCTGGCGATCGTAAAACAGCTGGCGACAGTCCGAGGGTGGTCCATAGACCGCGGCGAGGAGTTGCAGCGCCATTTGCAGCGTGGCGCGCTTCGCCCTTGGTGCCGAGGTGAGAGTGGCGAGGGCATCGCTGTCAAGCATCGCCGGCAGCGCACGCAACGCCTCGTCATCGGTCCATTTCGCCATCTCTTGATGGGCGAGGAAGCGCCTCCGGAAGCCACCCCAGTCGCCTTCTCCTCCCACGAATTCCTTGAGAGGTGGCAGTCGCTGTTGCAGCGCAGCGTCCGTAGGCGAAAAACGCTCTCCGTCACTCCGTGCAGCTTTGGCGGGCTGGGCGCGTGGCAACGGCGGTTGCTGTGGTGACGTTTTGTTGTCCGCCGCTGCCGACGTGGCTTGTGGTTGGTGAGTATCGGCCACGTGACGTAGCCCCGCCTCGCCGTCAGCCTGCACTGTACTTATGGCGGGAACTCCAAACTCAGCGTCTCTGGAAATGGCGGGAAACGGCATTGTATGTTGGCCGCCATCGCCCCGTGCAGCTCCTCCCGTCCCCAGTCGGGTAATCTGTTCCAGTGTGGTGGCTGCAGCATAGAGCAATTCTGCCAGTCGAGAGTGGGCCAGCCACAGTCCTTCAGACGACGGTTCCCACTCGTCTTGACGTTGCGGTGTGGGTGGACTTGGCCCCTGCTGCTCGAGTCCGCCCTCAGCCATTTCTGGCTCAAAGTCAGCCGAGGTTTCCTCCGCCCCCGTCTCTCTGGTAGGAGTTGTCCGTCGTGTCTCCATCCTTGTAGAACCACTTCCGACACCAGATGTAGTAAGGTTCCCGGAGACTTGACAACGTAGTTGGAGGCACACGCTTGTTTATTAACACCAGCGAGTAACAGGCAACTTACAGTACTTGAAGGGGTATCGGCCCCTTCACCCGTCTACATTACGGAACACAACAGCCTGACTCACAGCTAGCTTACAGCTAGGTTACGGCACCCGGAATACCCAGTCCGGCTCTTAGAAGAGCGTCGGTCCTGGGCTCTTAGGGCCACGCCGCTGGCTTGCCTGGTCAGCCCTGAAAAGGGCAGCGATCCCAGGGAGTTCCAGGGCCTGTCTAGCGAGTCTTCTTTCTTCACTGGTTACAGCTTAACACTAGACCCCGAGCCGTCCGGCTCGCCACCTTAAATAGCCATCCCCCTTGAGGGGTGGGGCTGTGGGGGATCCCAGCTCCGCAATAGCCCCCCAGGATAACAACGCGGACGTCGCAGTAAACACCGTCTTCGCGTCCCGATGTAGCCACGCCCATTGTGTTTGTTTGCCATCCGCGGCAAGTCTAAATCCGGCCGTCTACAACGGCTACAACGGCTCTACAACGGCTCTACACTTGTAAGAGCCGAGCAGGGCAAGCCAGGGGCGACCTCAGAGCAGCGAGGTCTGTGTCCTTGTGAGGGCCAGACTCGTGTGGCTGAGGGTTGGACCTGAGCCGAAACTGGGCCAGGTCAGTTAGCCTCCACTAGGATGGTCTGAGATAGAGGGGTGTAGTAGGAGCTCACGAGGAACGTTCGCTGAGGAACACATCCTCTAGTACAGTGGTTCTTAACCTTTTTGGAGGTACCGAACCCCACCAGTTCATTTGCGCATTCACCGAACCCTTCTTAATTGTAAAAATAAAATATGATTTTTTCAAATTAAAAACATAGGTATATTTTTTACTGGTGCACAATCATATGAGTCGGGTGTGTGTCTTAACCTCCGCCGGACCCCTGAGACTGACTCACCGAACCCCTGGGGTTCGATCGAACCCAGGTTAAGAACCACTGCTCTAGTGTTAGGGTTCGCTACGTGCTGCTGTATCGTAGCTCTTTTTAATCAATAAGTGTTGCCTCCATCGACGTCTCCTGCACTACTTATGCTCACTACACATACTCACGTTGAGCTTATTTTGTACCCTCCGAAGCTAACCATGCTAATCGGAGGTGTGACGAAGGACAACATTCAATCCGTGCAATGATGACCATGAAACTCCTTGAACGACTAGCCCTCGCCCAGCTAAAACCACACATCACCTCCTCCGCAAACTACTGCTGCTTCCAGTCAGCTTACCGTCAAAACTATTCCACAGAAACAGCACTCACTAGAGTGCTCGATGACATTTTAACGATCATTGATTCCGGCTCAACTGTTGCACTTATAAGTCTGGACATTTCGTCAGCCTTCGACACCATCAACCATTTGCTCCTTACATCCCTCCTGAAATCCGACTTTGGTATATGCGGCTCAGCACTCAAGTGGATAGTTTCGTACCTTTCTGACCGGCAATCTTCAGTCAGGGTGGGCATGTTCACATTGCCTGAAACAACAGCATTAAGCGGGGTTCCCCAAGGCTCTGTACTAGGTTCCCTGCTCTTCACAGCCTACACTTCCCCGATCGGCCGGCTCATTGCAAGCTTCGGTGTTAAGCATCACTCATACGCGGATGACACGATTATATTCACCGCCATCGATTCTAGAAATGCATCTGGATTCGAGAGGCTCTCGGAATGTACCACCACCGTGCAACAATGGTTCACTGCACACAACCTAGCCCTTAATCCGAAAAAGTCAGTGGCCATCATGTTAGGTACCAAGCAACGTCTTAATTCAGCAGCACTTCCCACACACATACACATCTTCGGTCACAGCATCAAGTTCACCGACCACTTCAGCTACCTCGGTGTCATCCTAGATTCAACTTTATCCTTCGACCGTCAAACCAACCATATCATCAGCTCATGTAACTTTCACCTGAAGGCTCTTAGACACATACGTCCTCTCATCTCTACTGAAATTGCCAACACATTGGCATGTTGCATAGTTGGGTCTCGCCTTGACTATTGTAACTCCGTCCTAGTCCGGACCTCCGCTGGCAGCCTAAAGAAACTTCAAAGACTACAAAATAACCTGGCATGCGTCGTCATTGCCCACACTCATCCCCATCTCGACTCACTAGCTTGTCTCCGTGCTCTCAACTGGCTACCCATCACCAGTAGGGTCACACAAAATACCGCCTACCTCTGCCACCATGCCTTCATATCGGCCTGCCCACCGTACCTCTCTTCATTATTGACAACTTGCAGCTCAGCACACGGCAGATGCCTGCGCAGCGCGACTCACGACCTCCTCTTGATACCAAGATCCTCTGCACAGCATCACCTCAATCGCCTCCTTTAAGAGACACTTAAAAACTCACCTCTACAATCATGCTTTTGAGCGATTCTGAGCTTGGCTCCGCGCCTCTGAGTTGCGGCCACTACGTCTGCAAATTTGCGCACGTTAGAAATTGAACTATTATTATTAATCTATATATTGGCGACTAAATTGCATAATGCTGTTGTATCCAATTGTGAATCTTATATAAAGTACTGTACATAGAGGCCAAAGACTGAATTACAAGTCAGAGTGCCATGATGCTCAATTGAGCATTTGGAGGTGCTCATCTCATTTACCTTTCTTAGCCATTGGTGGAAATTGCACATTCCTATGGCGGGGGCCGAGATGCCTTAGAGCAACCGCCGTTGATTACTTACAAAGTGGTGCTCGCAATGTGAATCCTGGGTAGACAAGGAGCTGAATGGACCCGATAATCTGACCCACTCCGACTTGACACTTCGTAGCTCATCAGTTTCCCCCAGCGCTAAAGAACGATTCTGATTCTGATCATGAGACTTTAAACTCCCGATCTTCCAATTTCACTAACAAAAATATCGCCACTCCCCCCTCCCGCTCCACCCACCAACCTTCTCTGTCTACCCTCCCCTACAAACACAGTGGGAAGAAATAAGCGGGTACGATGAGTTCCACACGCCCATTCAGATGTACCAAGTCTGCCACGTGATGAAGCCCAACCAGAACAACTGGCTGCGGACTAACTGGATGATGCGCGGCGGTGCCCAGCGCGTCTTCCTCGAGCTCAAGTTCACGCTGCGCGACTGCAACAGCATCCCGGGCATCTCGGGCACGTGCAAGGAGACCTTCAACGTCTACTACCACGAGTCGGACAGCGAGCGCGTGTCCGGCATCCACGAGAGCCAGTACGTGAAGGTGGACACCATCGTGGCCGACGAGACCTTCACCGAGATCGATCTGGTCGGCCGCATCATGAAGCTGAACACGGAGGTGCGTGACGTGGCCCCCTCGCCAAGAAGGGCTTCCACCTGGCCTTCCAGGATGTGGGTGCATGCATCGCGCTCGTGTCCGTGCGCGTGTACTACAAGCGCTGCCCACGCACCGTGCGCGGCCTGGCCGTCTTCCCCGACACGGTGACGGGCGCCGAATCTTCCTCGCATGTCGAGGTGCGCGGGGCATGCGTCGAGAACTCGGTCGAGGAGGAGGCGCCGCGCATGTTCTGCAGCGCCGATGGCAAGTGGCTCATGCCCGTCGGGAGGTGCGTCTGCGGCCCCGGCTACGAGCAGGCGGTGGATGGGTGCCAAGGTGAGAGAGGGCGCGTGTGGGGGCTGGGGGTGGTTGGTTGGGCACGCGACGCACGGTCCGGCATGCGGTCCGGTGGTAAGTCTGTGGATTCGTCTCGCTGCCGGGTGTACGCACGTAATTGTGCACGTGTGTGCGTGTCGTTACCCGAACGTCAGTTTCGCAAAACGAGGTGGGATAGTAGTAGCTGCGCTGCACAGTGAACGTTTGTGTGTGTTGAACTTCTTTCGCGCCGCACGATGACAACCGTGCTTATTGGTTCGAATGACATGAGCGTTCAACGCACGTTGAAAAGTGCGTGGCTCCGGTGGATTCCTGACATCGGCAGGAAGAGCGATCGAGACGGCCATGGAAGTCACCTGAAAGCGCGCGATGCGATCGCCGTCTTTGTTGTGTGATGTGAGGACATATCCGGGTTGCTGTTGGATTACACCTCGTACGATGATTGGCCCTGCCGGTCCTGGCCCATAGCTAATGGGGGGAAGTCTAGGGGCGTGGCCCTGACGTAATGGGAAGGTGACATCTGTAAGTAGAGGATTGGTTCTGCTGGCTTTAGCCACAGCCAATGGGGGGACGAGTCAGGGGCGTGGTCCTGGGAGCGTACGATGGAGTCTAGAAGATTCCATAGAGGTTAACCAGGATTGGTGGAAAGGTACCACATGACCCAGGTATTAAAAGGGGTGGAGACGGACAACACGTGGTCAGATCTGGAACGAACGGAGGGTGAGGCCACGCCCGTTGCTCCGTTTAACTCGTCCGTGCGTTGCCAGCCGCCACAGACAACGCGAACAGACGAATGTAGCCAACGTACGAGGGCGTCTGAACATTCACTGGGGGCAGTGGGGACTCGAGCTGTCTAGGTGCCATCCATGCTCTTCACTCCGCTGGGTGCGTTTGTTGTGGGGGGAGGGGGGTCTGTGCCAATTTCATCTCTCCGGAGTGGGGCACCACGAACCTCGCATCGCGGAAAGTAAAAAAAACTGCGCGGGTTTCCGTGGAGAGCGCATGGCCCCCGCTGTGGGACTGGAATTTTCCATGGTGAGCTCAGGGCCACCAACAGAGATGAGAGCGCTGCTACGTTGCCCACCCCCCCTCCCCGTGAGCTGGGAGCAGAGGTCGCAAACGGGTTTTGATTCCTTACCCGTACGCGTACCCGGCCGCACCAGGGTCGCAAACGGGTACCCGTACCCGGCTGGGTACGGGTACCCGTTTGCGACCTCTAGCTGGGAGGAAATCCGACCGAGTAGAGAGGAAGGCAGAGACGACACCACAGGTCCCGTAACTCGAGCACAGAAGACTCCGTTATGGGAGGATTCATGACCGAATAGACGAGTTAGTGACTATAATCACGCATTGTCACGGGCATGAGCGCTCTGCGCTGGAATTTACACCGTTCTGAAATTATTAATCGCTACTGATTGTCATCTCTACACTCCAAACAACCAAAGTCATGCTTGAGTGTGCGTTGTATTAGCACTGCACTGAGATTGATGTTCCATAGTCATCTATATATATGAATGCGAGACACGGTCATGCACACATCAAACTCTCCCGTACCACATCCTGAGCTGCAAATGCGTCCGGTCGCTATCCACATCTTAAGTTGCATTGTTGTAAGACGCTGTTTGTATTTGTAGGTGTTTTGTGCAGCAGGAATCTTCACGACGAGTTCGCAAATAAGTCGGCCGCTCTCGTCTGGCACAGCCACCAAGGGAGGAGGAAGTGGAGGAAGCACCCCAAGTTGGGGTTGCTGCTCCGACAAGCCAACAGCTGCTACCCAAAGTTCATTTATTAGGTAGAGCCCTGTGAGCCATTCGGCTCTTGAATCGGGTGCAACCGCAACAAACAAAAAAACAAAAACATGAACAAAAAACATCTTAAAGCAGTGGTTCTTAACCTTTTTGGAGGTACCGAACCCCACCAGTTTCATATGCGCATTCACTGAACCCTTCTTAATTGGAAAAAATAACCTCCGCCGAACCCCTGAGACTGACTCACCGAACCTCTGAGGTTCGATCGAACCCAGGTTAAGAACCAATGCTTTAAATAGAAATAAAAATTTCATCTCGACGTTAAGTCCTGTTATTTGGTTGCTTCTTTTAATAACGCGTGGGATGGACCGGGTGTCGCCGTGCTGAGAACAGTGCGCGATGAAACCGACCACCTGAGTTTGATTCTCCGTCACAGTGTACACACACACACACACAGTGTACACACACACACACAGTGTGTACACACACACACGGTGTCTACAGTCTACACACACACAGTGTGTGTACACACACAGTCTACACACACACAGTGTACACACAGTGTCTACAAACAGTCTACACACACAGTGTGTACACACACAGTGTTTTGTCGGGGACACAAAGGCGGCCGGGCGTGCCTCGTTCCTATGGCGGGGCTAGTTGTGGTGCTCACTTTACGACGGCCGGAGGTGTTGATGATAGTGATGACGATGTGAGTTGAGTCGTCCCCCAACCAGGGATTGAACTTGGCACCCTTCTTCGTTCGATGGTTATCATTTGTTGACGGTAATTATTTTGATGTTGGGTTTAAAGTTACCTTTGCTGAATGCGCCGATTGACACTGGGCGTGTGTTGATTAAAAGCAGTGCAACATGTGTGGAGGATAGAACTAAATTTCCAATATAGAGTTTGACGTAAAATTTAGGGAGCAAAACCCCAGCACTCAACTTGATTTTCAGGTTACGGTTCAGAGGAAATTATTTGGTGGTTGCTGAAAACTTTACAGTTTCAAATATTCTGGAATGCGTCCGAAGAAGTATTCAAAAGGTCGACCGAACATGCAAACGGTAGTGAATGGAACCCAGTGTTAAAATAGCAACGTAATAAATATTTCCTGCAAACAATGAACAATTTTTCTTGTTTTTTTCGGTAAAGTCACGTAGAATGGAAATAATATTATTTCCATTCTACGTGACGAATGGCGGTTGTTGTCCGGCAAAACAACCCCCTACCTCCTCGTTCGTACCGGACAGCAACGCTGTGATGGGCAGTGCCATGGGGGGAGGGCCAACTTAATTTCGCCATTCCCCTCATGGCGTTTGTAACCACTGCAGCGGCCAAATGGGGGCTCTGGACAGGTGTGAGGAGCTGGTAATCTCTCCACCTTCAATTCATGACCACAAAGCGACCTGCAAAATATCTAATTCAGCTTGTCCCGGAGGAGCCGGGGGACAGGCATCTATGACGTCTACTGGCCAAACCCCATTTGGCGGAGCCAGGAGACTGAATCCTTACCCTCGGGGCTCCTCCAGAAACAACAAAAAACCACTGCGGGTGGCCACGTGGAATGTTCAAACGCTCACTGCGGAGGAGAGTATGCCACCCCTCTATCGGGAGCTGGACCGGTACCACCTGGATCTCTGTGGTATTCAGGAGGTCCGGTGGACCGGCTCAGGCTCCTGCCACCATGAGGGGTGGACAGTCCTCTACTCGGGGCATGAGACTGCCAAACAACAGGGAGTGGCTCTTCTGAACAAAACAAGGGGTTGCGGGAGCGTGGTGGTGAGGTGTGGGAAGCTGTAAGCCCCAGGCTACTGTGGGCTCGCCTTCCCATCAACCAGAGGCGAGGAGTGGTGGTCGTGGTTACTTATGCCCCCACTGAAGACGAACATCCGTGGAGGGATGCAGGCAAGGCCGATGAGTCAGATGCCTTCTATGACCTGTCACAGGTGTTAGCTAAAGTGGCCCCTCGGGATAGAGTCATCTTGTTAGACGACTTCAATGCCCGAGTTGGTCATGATACTGGCACTTGGCCTGGGGGTGATTGCACCATAGACTCAACACTGTTACCCGTAGACTCAACACTGCCCATAGACTCAACACTGCCCATAGACTCAACACTGCCCATAGACTCAACACTGCCCATAGACTCAACACTGCCCATAGACTCAACACTGCCCATAGACTCAACACTGCACCATAGACTCAACACTACCCAGAGACTCAACACTGCCCATAGACTCAACACTGCCCATAGACTCAACACTGCCCATAGACTCAACACTGCCCATAGACTCAACACTGCACCATAGACTCAACAATGCACCATAGACTCAACACAGCCCATAGACTCAACACTACCCATATACTCAACACTGCCCATAGACTCAACACTGCACCAGACTCAACACTGCACCATAGACTCAACACTGCACCATAGACGCAACACTGCACCATAGACGCAACACTGCACCATAGACTCAACACTGTCCATAGACTCAACACAGCCCATAGACTCAACACTACCCATAGACTCAACACTGCCCATAGACTCAACACTCCACCATAGACACAACACTGCCCATAAACTCAACACTGCACCATAGACTCAACACTGCCCATAGACTCAACACTGCGCATAGACTCAACACTGCACGATAGACTCGACAATACCCATTGACTCAACACTGTCCATAGACTCAACACAGCCCATAGACTCAACACTGCACGATAGACTCAACACTACCCATAGACTCAACACAGCCCATAGACTCAACACTACCCATATACTCAACACTGCCCATAGACTCAACACAGCCCATAGACTCAACACTGCACCATAGACTCAACACTACCCATAGACTCAACACTGCACGATAGACTCAACAATGCCCATAGACTCAACACTGCCCATAGACTCAACACTGCCCATAGACTCAACACTGCACCATAGACTCAACACTACCCAGAGACTCAACACTGCCCATAGACTCAACACTGCCCATAGACTCAACACTGCCCATAGACTCAACACTGCACCATAGACTCCACAATGCACCATAGACTCAACACTGCCCATAGACTCAACATTACCCATATACTCAACACTGCCCATAGACTCAACACTGCCCATAGACTCAACACTGCCCATAGACTCAACACTGCACCATAGACTCCACAATGCACCATAGACTCAACACTGCCCATAGACTCAACATTACCCATATACTCAACACTGCCCATAGACTCAACACTGCCCATAGACTCAACACAGCCCATAGACTCAACACTGCACCAAACTCAACACTGCACCATAGACTCAACACTGCCCATAGACTCAACACAGCCCATAGACTCAACACTACCCATAGACTCAACACTGCCCATAGACTCAACACTCCACCATAGACACAACACTGCCCATAAACTCAACACTGCACCATAGACTCAACACTGCCCATAGGCTCAACACTGCCCATAGACTCAACACTGCACGATAGACTCGACAATACCCATAGACTCAACACTGCCCATAGACTCAACACAGCCCATAGACTCAACACTGCACGATAGACTCAACACTACCCATAGACTCAACACAGCCCATAGACTCAACACTACCCATATACTCAACACTGCCCATAGACTCAACACAGCCCATAGACTCAACACTGCACCATAGACTCAACACTACCCATAGACTCAACACTGCACGATAGACTCAACAATGCCCATAGACTCAACACTGCCCATAGACTCAACACTGCACCATAGACTCAACACTGCACCAGACTCAACACTGCACCATAGACTCAACACTGCACCGTAGACTCAACACTGCACCATAGACTCAACACTGCCCATAGACTCAACACTGAACGATAGACTCAACAATGCACCATAGACTCAACACAGCCCATAGACTCAACACTACCCATATACTCAACACTGCCCATAGACTCAACACTGCACCATAGACTCAACACTGCACAATAGCCTTAACACTGCACCATAGACTCAACACTGCTCATAGACTCAACACTACCCATAGACTCAACGCTGCCCATAAAACAGTGGTTCTTAACCTTTTTGAAGGTACCGAACCCCACCAGTTTCATATGCGCATTCACCGAACCCTTCTTTATTGTAAAAATGAACCTCCGCCGAACCCCTGAGACTGACTCACCGAACCCCTGGGATTCGATCGAACCCAGGTTAAGAACCACTGCAGTAGAGCAAGTGGTCCTAATCTCCACCCGTTTCCATCTGTACGGAGAGTCACCCCATTGACAAGTGTCCATCCTGCATGCACAATCCCTGAACGTAACACCTGGTAGGCTCTCGCGACCAATATTATCCACAGTAGGTGTTGGGGTTAAATGAGTCTTTAAGCACGCCACCACACAGCCAATGAGTAAGGTTTGTAACGTAAACAAAACGAGCCGATTCGTTACGAGTTCAGCACACCGGTGTGTTGTAGAGGAAACCCACGACATTGACAATTTACGAGTACGACGTTTCACCAGTAGTTACAACCAGCATCATCAGGGCGGCCCGCTAGATTTGTGGAGAAACCCTCCTGCGATGTCGTCACTTGTGAGCCAACTTGTGAGCCAATATGAAACCTGTCGTCTTAAAAAGGTCCTTCGGACTGAGAATGGCTTCTACGGATAAATAATTACATTTTTGTTATCGAACCCACACTAAGATGTCTCAATAATAATGATGATATATCTCTTCGCCAAGCCACCATTGGGTGAAGACATTCACATACTGCGTTGGTCATCATAGGGGTTGTTTCACCATACTTCACCAGACTGGTCAGTGTGGGTTGATGCAGGAGGACAACCAGGACCGATTCAGAAGTGCCTCGGCAACTTTCCCGCTCCTTTTTCTTCCTGGATTCTCTCTGGAGTCATTATCTGGGTGGAGGCGATTCGAGCACTAAAACTCTTTGGCACTGGGCTACTTAAAAGTTGGGCAATGTAACTCCCCAGCCCCCCCCCCCCCCCCCAATATTATCAGGGCAGCCAAGCAGAGTAAA